AGGGCTAGAGTGTTGTTATTGTTGATTCTATTTGGAGGTTACATACAAAATATTAGACTTAGAAGGAACTTTAAAAAGGCTATCTTCCTGGTTGCCCTCCTGTTCTCCTTTAGACAGAACCCACACTCCACACAGAGGTTTCTATCTTAAAAGCCTTCCAAAGATGATTCTGTGCTCTCCCTGGATGATTCCCCCTCCAACGTGACTAAGGCCTACTCCAGGTCCTGGCTTCTTCGACACTCTTCTCCAATACGTCCAGTCAATGCATCTCACCTCCTTCCAACAATAACCCATAACAAGGAACTCTGTTTTTTATGGCACATGATTGGATCAACTGAACAACTGTTGATAAACATTGTTTTTATCATGATGACTAAGTGCTTCAATTGCTTCAATGTGTAATCACACCACTCCAAAAAGTTGGGGAAAAAAAAAAAAAGATTTTAAGTCCTATACTATCCCGAATAGCCTGGTGCCACACCCAAGAAAATCCAATGAACACATCTTGAATTAATGCAAAACAACCATCATATCCTTCTCATGTCTAAGTTAAACTCTTGTGACTTGATTTAGATGGAACCTCTCACCTCTCTGTCCATGTGACCAAGAAGAGAAGGAACACATTGTCCCCTCAGTAAGAGCTCTTCACATTCTGGATAACTATTCCTAGAAATCACTCTACAGCCTTTGAACTCCCATCTGTCCCCTGTAACTTCCCTACATGCTGAATTATTCCCAACAAAACCCCCTAAGCTAAGTGATTCTTCTCAAGTTTCCCCATTTCTCCTTAATCAGAAATCCTAGAACCTGAGTCAGCACTATGGCGATCTAGCAATATTGGGAATGTAGGCTCATACTTCCCCGTCCCAGAATCATGTTTGGTTTAAAACAGCAAGTAGCGCATGACTGGTTCTTGGCACTTGGTTACCCTAAACTTGAGGTGGTTTATTCCTGACCACTTCTGCAGATCAAATGTCCACAAAAGTTCTTCTAAATTTTCAGGAAACTCTCCTTTTTACTCATGGTCTGAACAGTTGAGAGCAACTCAACATGCATTCTACTACATCAAGTCACTCTTTAAAACCCTTTTCAAAAAAGAGATAGTATGAACTCTAAAAGAATTCCTTTCATTGGGATCTCCTAAGGGAAACAGTGATAAATAATTGGTCCTGAAAAGAGCTTTTCAGTTAAACAGTTAGATGAGTTTTGATAGCTGCCTTAGGTCAGTTTTAAAAATTTGCCTATGAAGATATAATATGGATGTATAGCATAGGATAAAAAATTGTCCATTTTTAAATGAGTATCAGCAAATTGCCACACCATTTTTTTCCTTTTTCATACCAAAGTTGAAATAGGTACACAAGCTGTCACCTTACCAACTCTTTGGATGGGTATATGGTGCTCTGTCCAGGTCTGAATCGTAGAGAAGAGCTGAGGTTGAATGGAGTCTTGTGTCTGATTTAGCAAGATGTGCACACAAGCACCAAGGTTTTGTATCCCCTCCAAACTAAGGGGATGAAAGACAAAGATTTGGTTATTGTACCTCATTTGGGACTTATTAAGACTCAATATGCCAGGCTTATCTCTTTTTACTTTACCCTGTAAGACTTCTTTTTCTTTACAAATTTAGACCAGCTTTAGGAGTCTACCCTTTTTAAAGTATCTGAGAATTGTTTATAGCCTTTCTCTAATGTTACTATTACTTCCATTAGACAGAGAAACAAATCTTAAAGGCTGTATTCTTGATTAAGTATGGTTGGGGGTGGGGGGAAATTGAATGCTTATTATATGCCAGGCTCAATGCTGTTATCGTCTTTTAAAAATCCTGATGAGGTAGGTATCACTTCCATTTTGTTGAAGAATCAGGGACACAGAATGGGTAAGGAATCTTCTTAAGGCCACACGGCTAATGGAGTTCCATCCAAAGCCAGGGGAGGACTGTAGCCTTTGCCAACTTCATCGAACTAGATGGGTCTCACTTCCCTCATCATTAAGGATTTGCTGGAATTCCACAAGTTGTGAAAAAATAAAAGTTAGTTAAGCTGAAATGTCTTTTGGTTTATTATTTTACTCTTCTTGAATATATGCTAGCAGAGGCTGAAGTTATCTAGCAATATTTATTTATTCTTTAATTCTTCTGTACATAAGCTATATGATTTGTTTTTTATAGTTTTGCCTAGCTTTCATTTTTGGAACAAATGAATGATTTTTTTTAAGACAAAATACTTTTGCATTTCAGGATTATCTATCATTTTTGTTTGTTGTGGATCAAATAGAATAGAATGTGCTCTGGTCCCAGTTCCCTTAAAGAGGGGACACTGCACGGGTTTTCTGGCCCTGTTTATTGTTAAAGCATTCATCTCCATTTGGTTTTATGTCATCTACAAATAATCTTCTTCTATCACTTTTCTGATCCTAACATACTGAGTTCTTTGCTGCAATAGGATAGCTGGGCTTTTGGGAGCCCCACAGTTCAATGCTGAACCATCAGTTTCATAAACTCAGTGGCTATTGGAGGAGCACTTTCGCCTAACCTGGTGGTAATTTCAACCTAAACAATGCATTGCTTGAAAGGAAAAGCATTTTGGTTCTCAGATAAGACCATCTGGTACAACCACGATGTAAAGCACCAAGACTGACCGAGAGGTGACAACAATTTGTAAAATCTCACGGAAGTTCCTATGCTGCAAAGACAGAGTCTAGGTTCTCACTGCAGCTCCTCACACTACAGAGAACATCAGTGTTCAAGCTCAGTCCATACTGTCACTGAAGAAGAAGCAGAGGGCCCAGTGCCGAAAGTGAACAACAATGCAGTAGCATACTCTCTTGACCCCCCTTGCAGTCACAGGATTCTTTCTCAAACTTTGTACAGGTGGATGCCAAGCGTAATCCATCTGACAGTGGTACAAGTTCTTCTACTGTTAAGGAAGGCAAGACCTCCCTCCCAGCTACGCTACATCAGCAAAAACAGGGTCCCAAACAGCTGTGCATCACACAGGGAGCCAGTGAAGGAGAGAGAAGCAAGAGCAGATGCCTGACTGCCTGGTGAATGGCCCATTTACAAATTCAACAATAGTCAGAGGGGAGCAGGGAGCACAAGAGCCACCCCCGTGATTGGTGAAACCAGCACTTCTCAATTCAGTGTAAATTAATGCCCTGAAAGAAGACACACTATAAAGCAGATTTCCATAAACCCAGTGCATCATTTACCCTCTGTAGTATTATTTCAAAAGCACTGTTTTCAGGAAAAATCACGGAAGGAACTATTCATGCAACAAATACTGGTGCTTCTTCAATTTCAAATGTCTCTGTGAGATGTTAATTATTAGCTAGATGAAATAGGCAAAAGGAGCTTTTTCCACCGCGGAACCAACTAATTATCTTTCATAACTGTTAAAAAGCAAATGTAGATGTAAGAGCTCTAGTGAAAAAAAAAAACATGCTAGTGCATTGTGTCTAGACTTTGCCAGGCAAATAAGGGAGTTGAAATGTACAAAATCAAAAGATCTTACTAAACCAGAATTTCAAATCAATGTAAAAAAAAAATCCACCCTCATATTTTAATGTATCTTGTCATTAGCATTTTATATTTATACAGTCAGCTTTAGATTGCTGTATATTCAAGATGTACATGCATCCTACGTGGTGAATAGCATCAACATAGTAAAATTGCAAAAATTTAAAAATGCTTTTCAGGCATCTTGTTCCTTAAAACGCTGCACATTCCTGTAACAGCCTCATAGGCAGACTATTGGAGAAGAGATCAAACCCACAAGGATAGCTTCACCATACCAGCAGAAAACCCTAAAAATGGGTGGGTCAAGGCAGCAGAAAACGAAGCATAGGTGATGATTTGGCACCATAAGACAAGGGATACAGCAAAACATAGAGCAGGAAAATATAAGGGGGGAAAATCCAGGACGGTCAGTACAATATATGTAGGTTTTTTTCAAATGTAAATTTTAAAGTGAATGCTGCTTTTATGTTACTGCATAAAGGAAAGCATAACAAGGCTGCTTTACTTCCCTTTAAACACAAGCGCATAAAGAGAGTGAGGGATGTGAAAAGCCAATTCTCTGTGCCACTACTTAATCAATTGCACTCGGTTCTACTCGATGACACAGCCACACTGCAAAGACCACTCAGCAGTTAATGGATATAATGTTGGAAAAGCACTTTGAGGTCTTCCAAAGAAAGGTAGGGTAAAAACCCAAAGGAGCATGGTTTTATTACTTCTTCCCAATAACTGAGCAGTGTTATAGATGAAACTCCCATGACCTAAAAAGAAATTAAGATATTAATTTATTTTGCTAATTCTGATTCTTCCATATGAAATCACTTCTTTCACAAATGGGTACTTGAAATCACAGAAGAATTATCCTGTGCCCTAGTCTCTTCTTGTCAGGATAACCATTACACACTGCATGGTAAGGAATAAATATGTTCTTCAAGTGTTACAGCCTACGTCTACAATCTGTCAAATGTAGAGCTGAGGAGGAGTTCTGTGTTTCTAACTGTATACAACCATCACTAGCTACCACTCTTCCCACAGACAGCAATAAGTCAACAATGAAATATAAAAGCTAAAAATAAGTGACTGAGCAATTGCTCAGAAGAGCTGAACATTAGGCGCGGTGTTACATGGACACACATTCCTCCCCCCCCTTTTTTTTACTGACAATTTCAGGTAATTAAAATTAAGGACTCACATATAAGCAAAAGAAAAATAAACATGCACTGCACAAATATGTAAAAGTCAGTCAGAGATACAATTTCATGCTTATTACCGGACAAGATGAGTGTTCTGAATGGCACATGCCCAGAATGCAAGTAGTGACTAATATTCGCTGCTGCAAATGCCACGGAAGATGACAATTATAGGCACTTCAAATGCTCAAAACAAACAAACAAACCAAAACAAAACAAAAAAAAACTCGGTGTCATTTCATACAAGCTGAAAATATTTCTTCATTCACAGGTATCATAACATGTTCATTTCTAAGAGTCAATTAAATCAACGTTTATTAAGGACACATTATATACAATTTACTATGCTCTAATGAGGGAAAATAACTGCATAAAAAAGAATAAGGTTTACATGCAGGTGTACATTCAAAATATATGTATGTGTATATATCCTTGAATATAGAAAAAGTATAATCTAAAGGAGAACACTCGATTCAGAAAATCAACAAATCCATGACTTAAATACGGGGTTTTTTTTGTTTTCTTCTCATTCTGTAAGAATTTATTAGGTGAGAAAAATAGCATAAAAACCTTGAAAATTACAAGTTGGAAATCTTACATATTAAAAGGAGACAAGATGTCTTTCAACAGTGTTTTTGGACTCTGTTTTACCTTCAAAATGATTCACCTAACCAAATCTCATAGGAAACCACAATATATAAGTGAGATAAAGAAAGGTATTTAATGAATACAAATTTGTTTTATAAGTATGAGTTTATAACATTTATTTTTTAAGTAAATAAATGAGTTTTCTTCACAGAAAGAAAAATGTAAAATAGGGATTATGGATGACAGTTACACTCTCTTATGAGCCTTGGCCTCTAATTCATTTCCATAGTAGGGGTGTTTTGGCACCATATTAACAAAATACTGATTCATACACATACCTGGTTACAAATAGTGAAATTTAACAGCTCCCTTGCGATCTCAGGTTACTCTTCAAGCAAACAGAGACAGCAAGAGACACTTCATTCCTCAGGTTGAACCCAGACTCAATGATCTATTAACACAAAATGACTCATCATCACGGTTCCCAACTGTGGTTAATTTTCCATAAAGTACACTTGACCGTGTATGTGTTTTTTTAAATTATAATATCTGAATCCAAATCAAACCTTTGAGAGACCCAAAGATCCTGCCCAGAATGTCCCAGAGGTTAGTAGACTCTAATACCTATTTGTAAGCCTGTCTTTAAAACGCCTACCAGCATGTGCTGAGTTGGTATCAGTGGCCAAAACACTGGTGGCCAGGGCAGATGTCACATGCGAATGCCTGCTGGCAAAACTAGGATTCGAGCAAGGTGTGCCATCTGCAGATTTGCTGGCCTTTGGTTTCCTTCATTTCCTCCCAATGGTCTTGTTCCTCTTCTCCGCTACTGTTTTGGCCCAGAGCAATCCAACCAATCATCTCTTTACGCTTCATAGTACGCCTGTTATAAACGGAAATCATCAGTGTGACATCAGAGAGCTGAAAGAGGGCCACCTGGAAAGCAAAGGTCTCCTTGTAGACTGGATTGGGCTGACCACGTCGAATGGACGTCTTACAGCGGGACATCTCATGACCCACAGAATTGAGAAGAAAGAGCTTTCCATATGTATCTAAGGAAAAAAACAACAGAAATGAGAAAACATCAGAGCTTTCTGTGTTGCTAGTTTTGTTGTAATATTTACATGGGATCCAAACTTTTCCTTTTTAACATACTGAGCAGCATCCTTAGGCCTGGTATTTGCTGTAGGACTAACATACTTTCCATGAATTATTAAGGAAAGGGATTATTACCTTCAATGGTTAATGTTTCATGCAGCCCACTATGAGCACCTTGCTGACGTTCATTAGAGGCAGCTTCTAAGGACTTTGCTGCCTGCTTACTCATCTGCAAGTCTGTCAGTTTGAAAGAGGAATTGCCTTGTGTACAACTGTGCCCCTGGTTCCTGGCCTAGTGTCCAACACATGGTAGACATTCAATATATATTAAACATTGTGTAATGAACGTACATGACTCTCCAGCAGGCTTGACTTTCTTTTTTCTTTTGGTCTTGGGTTTTCAAACTTGCAAAATGAAAATAAACCCCTTGGTTTTATCACCCTCGCCCTGGAATGCTATAAAATGGGATTAGTCTCATATGTTTAACAATTTATAGAAAGGAAAAAAATTATCCAAATTTTATTAACATAATCTACTACTGCTGCTAAAATTCCTGAATAGATAATTGCAAAGAAAACTATCTCCAAAGGCAATTATATTTTTATTAAAATCACTTAATTCATCAATTTGTTGGCCCTCTCTTAATGACAATATTTACCACTAACTTATGTGTGTCTTAGGCTTTAAAAAAGAAAATCTAAGTGTTAGGGCATTTCGCAGATTCTATCATTCTGTATATTCTGTTCAATGCAGGCTGAAAGCTGATTTGTGTTTACTGCTCACTTTCCCACCTAACAACCAAACTTTTAAAAGTGTAAATCCAGATCTCTGTAATTTACTGTTCTCTACAAGAGCATTGCAAGATGGGAAACAAATTACAACCTGCAGTTTTCTTTCTATGTTGATCTTTTTCTATTCCGGTTTGATGTGTTATTTTATTCACTTATCTGCTGAGAAACACAAGGTGTGAAATTACACTTCAGGTGTGAAAACACTTCTCTGTCTCAGAAACAGGCCTCTCCACTCTTCAAACTGCTCTACTGAGAAAGCTGTCAGAAAACCAGCAATAGGGGAGTGAGTTTGTGTTTCCACAGCTGTACAGCTCCATGATTCCTATAGGAGAAGTTCAATCCAGTCCCTGAACCGCTCTGGCAATTCTTGCCTCGGTTAGGGCAGTGGGAATTGAGTTAATCTTGCAAACAAAAGACCTGCTCATTCACAAAGTGCAATTTCAATCTTTATCCTGTCACAGATCACTTTCTAATGACAAGAAAGGCCATTTACTACCAAACCGCCATCACTGAAGCTGAATGATATGTGTATGACAAAAGGGGAAAATAATTATTTGATAAACAATCCAGTCTGAGGGCACCTAACCAAAAGAAGGGAAATGTTGCTGATTGTTCCAGCTCAAAGGGAACCTTTTCTCAGCAGTGATAATATGTTTACTTTTCAGTGTCTGGAGCCAAGACTGTGCCCAGGAAAGTCAACCTGTGAGGAACAGTGCAGAGTACACCTGGGGTCTTTTGGGGTTCGATGACTTATTCCAATGAGCACCAGCCAGAATGGATGAAGAAAGGACCAAGTAAATATACAACTTCACTGAATTCTGTGTTAATTTTTTGGAATTGATAATATTTGCTACAAAGCAATACCAAGCAATATTTTATCTTCTGATGATGATTCAGGTTGCCCTTCAGTGGCTCTAGTAACTCAAAACCATCATCAAAAGGTTGGATGGGTCATAATTCCTTGATAGTCCTCGATGCTGCTCTTCTGACTCAGCTGTGGCAGCTGCTTTACCAGTCACTGTCTCCTTCTCTGTAAAGGAAGATGCCATGTGTACCAGAAAAAAATGATAATAGTACACAATCCTCAACTTATCATGGCATAAAAGTATGCCATTTGAAACTCAGAAGTCATGTTTCCAAAGAAACAGCACAATACCATAGTGGTTACTTATGGAGCTCATACAAAACACTACCCATTTGCAGCACGATGTTCTACCAATAGTACTACAGACTCCGCCTTTGGGCAGGACTGGGGCACCATGATCATCAGGGCAAGGGAAAGGAATTCCATCACTTAACCTCCCCTTCCCTTTTAATTTAGTAATAATTACAGGATATTTTAAACATACATAAAGAGAGTAGAGAACAATATTACACACACCCAAATATCCACCACACAGACTTGTGATATTTAACATTTGTCATATTTACTACTGACCTTTTGCTTTTTGTTTGATTTTTAGGAAACAAAATATCATAATTGAAGATCCTTGGGTATCCCTCCTTGATCCTTTTTGATTTCTTCTCTCACTAAAGGTAATTACTAGCCTGGATTTGGAGTTCATCATTTTCATTGTGTAAGTAGACATAAATAAAGATATCCAAAACATACTTAACAGAATTTTGCACATTTAAAAGTATTTAGCATTTTACTGTAGGTATTCCTGAAACTTGCCTTTGTTCATTCTGCATTAAATTTTTTATATTACCTATATTGATATATACACCTGTGATTCATTTAACTGCTGTATAGTGTTCTAAACCACAATTCACTTGTCCATTCTCTTAATTAATGGATATTTATTTATAATAACCAAGAATGGAAACGATATCACTGAACATTTTTCTATATTTTATACTGTACCAAAATTTGAGAATTTCTCCAGTATATATCTAGGAGTGGATTGCTGGCTCTTTATAAATTCTAGATACAAAATCTTTGTTATATTTATTGCTAGTATCTTCTCTCTGTTCTTATCCTTTTATTTTATAGTGACTTTTATAGGATAACTGCTTTAAATTTTTGTGGAGTCTGATTTATAAATGTTTTCCTTTTCAGTTTCTGGGTTAAAAGAAATTCTTTTTTTTTTCTTTAAAGATTTTATTTATTTATTTGAAAGAGAGTGACCATGTGCACATGAGCAGGGGAGGGGCAGAAGGAGAGGAAGAAGCCAACTCCCCGCTGAGCAGGGAGCTGGACATGGGGCTCTGGGGCTTGATCCCAGGAACCTGGGAACATGATCTGAGCAGAAGGCAGTTGCTTAAATGACTGAGCCATGCAGGCACCCCTCATTAAAAGAAATTCTTTTTTTTTTTAAGATTTTATTTATTCATTAGAGAGAGAGCACACAAGGAGGGGGAGAGGCAGAGGGAGAAGGAGAAGCAGACTCCCCACTGAGCTGGGAGTCCCAACATGGGGCTCGTTCCCAGGACCTGGAGATCATGATCTGAGCCGAAGGCAGATGCTTAACCATCTGAGCCACCCAGTCGCCCCTAAAAGAAATTCTTTAAGAAATCCTACCCAAACTCAATAGTCTCATATATTTTCTTCTATGAGTCATAAGAATTTATTTTTCATATTTGATATTTAATCTACCTGAAATTGATCTTTATGTGTGGTGTGAAGTAGGGATCTATTTATTTTTTTTCCATATGGGAAGCATTATTCATTAAATAGCCCATTATCTCCACAACTGATTTGTAATACAATGTCAGGTACCAACTCTCCAGGCTTGAGTGTCTTTCCCTCACCTGATAATAGTTATTAACATCATTTTATAATATGCCTTTTATCTGCTAGGGAGACTCCTACTATTGTCTTTTTAAAAACTTTTCATTATTTTAAATTCTTGTTTGGTTTAACTGGCTGTTGCATATGAACTTAGGATCAGCCTGTCAAGTTGTTTTGTTTTTTTTTAAAGCAAAATATACAAAAGAACCAAAACCCTGTGGAGATTTTGATTGGGATTGTACTGGATATATAGATTAATTTGGGAAAAGTTGTTGTCTTCACAATATAGAACATTCTCACCAATGAACATAGTTTACCCATCTAGTTTTCTTTTGTGTCTTTCAAAAAGTTTTGTATCTTTTTCCATAATTTTCTTTTCTTACTCATCTTTTATTAATGGTACATTAGGTATTTTCTTATTGTTGTGCATAGCAATGTTTTAAAACTCTTCTTTCTTTCCTTTTTTTTTTTTTTAAGAGGGGAGGAGGGGCAGAGGGAGAGAGAGAATCTTAAGCAGGCTCCATGCCCAGCAGAGAGCCTGACTGGAGGCCGGATCTCAGAACTCTGAGATCATGACCTGAGTTGAAATCAAGAGTGGGTGCTTAACCAACTGAGCCACCGAGGCACCTTTAGAACTCTTCTTCCTAACTGTTCCTGATATATTAGAAAATAATTGGTTTTGTATGAGAAACTTATTAGTTCAACTTTGTAGATCTTCTAATGTAAACAGTCATACTTTTTACAAATAATGGCAGTTTTGTTTCTTTCATGCTATAAATTTTTATTTTTTTCTTATCCTAATGAATTGTCTTGAGCCTCCAGCCTAATACTGAATAAGAGTGATGACAGTGGGAATCCTTATTTTGTTCCTGACTTTAATAAAGGGATTTCAGGATTAAGAATGACAGTGCAGATTTTCTTTAAATGCCCACTAACAAGATTAAGCAAGTTCTGTATCTCATATTAGTTGTTGATATTGAACACCATTTTCGCCTTCCTAAGCAATTTCCTGTATCAAAGGGGCATAAAACTTAAAACGCATTTCCCTAAATCTCCTGCCAGTAAGATCCCACTAATGAGAGCATCTTGTCTGAGACTGGAAGGTAGAAGAAAAGGGGAGCCGCATCTCTCCAGACCCAGTAGCTGGCAAAGTAGTGGTTTTGCCCATGGTGTTCAAACATCCTTAAGAGAATCTCTTCTTTCCTGCACAAACAGCTCAGACCATTTTGGCATCTTTCCTGTGATGTCTGTACTTCTAGATTTCCTGAGGGAGCTTCAACCCTACAATAAACAACATTGGACTCAAAATATCTAGACTATTCCTAGTTCCCTGACAAAATCTGACTGATATAAGTGATAATCTGAACTGGAATGTTTCCATAAAAAACAACAGCAACAACAACAAAAGAATGGGCACTGGCATCGAAGGTG